AAATTTCCTCCATTCTTACAAGCAAAGCCATCCATGGTGGAGCAGGACCTTCGACTTATCTTCACGTACGTGGAACTGGTAAAAGAATGGAGCCAGGGGCTCCTCCCAAGCCCATGTGACCTCTTTGTAGGAGTAATATGGTTCTCTCTGGTTTTCAAAACTAGCTAGGCATTGTTTATCTCTTACATTGTCTCACTCCTCCATCATGTTTTCCCACTCAAGGTGCCCCCATTTCCCCCCTTTCTCCCTTAATAATACCCGTCTCCTATGGTCCTACCTCTCTTGAGCTCCTACAGGTGATACCTTCTTTTGAGTTGTTGGCCAGGGTGGCCAAAGGGATTCCCAGATAGTAACCCAGCATAGAACTGGGAAAATGAACAGCAGACCCCAATCTTGTCTAAAGGAATATTAACAACTGACTGCTGCTAGAGGAGGAACAGCTGACCCTCCTAAAACAAAGACCTCTGGATAGGCTGACTAGAATCACCAGAAGGACAAGTAGTTGGGAAATTCTAGGGGTGATGACAACACAGTGGACAGTAGCAGGGTTAAGAGTGTATAAGGGCTCTAGTGCGAGGGGGAGGTTATGGGAGGGTGCCATCTGGGAAGTGGGTGTATACTTGAATAAGATGGTTTGGGATGTTCTGTGTGATATAAACACACAGAAAAAAATAAACAAATTTTAAAAATGTATTATATTTGAGCAGGAAGCATAAAAGTTTATGTCATGTTAATTAGTAGAGGTGATGAACATTACCATTGAAATCTACCTGATGACTTTAGACATTCACAGGCGCCAAGGATCCAAGTGCAAATGACTATTACTAGTAATAATTAAATACAGATTAGAGATGCATGCAGCAACAACTCAGTGTTAGTAGCACAAACAATGAGTCTTTGTGTAAGAAACAGTATATTTTAGAATGAAATGGAGATTTTTTTGGAGGGTTAAAAACTCATTCAATTATATATCTTACAGGGCTTATACAGAGTTCAATATTGCATAACTGTATTGATTGGATAGCGAATCTAGAAATTTTATAGCCACTTTTGAAGGAGCAGTGTCTTTCCTCTGGAAACTGTTATTGGGCATGTTAAAGCTGTAATGATATGCTTCTTCTAAATAAAATAAAAAAATAATATTAAAAATGTAGGAAACAGCATATCTTGAAATGGAGAGCTTCTTTAAAGGTAAAAAAAAAACATTCAATTTTATATCTTACATGGTTTATACTGAGTTCAATATTGTATAACTGTATTAATTCAACTGTGAACCTAAAAATTTACAGCCACTTTTGAAAGAGATGTGTCCTTTCTCTGGAGTGTGTTACTGAATATGTTGAAGCTCTAATGAAATGTTCCTTCTAATTATGTGGTTATTAAATTTTTTATAAAATTAAAAAAAATTCTTCAAAGCATGAAAATTTTCTCCTTAGTAATTAGTAGATGTGAAAACCATCACCATAAATCTACCTGATGACTTTATATGCATGCTCAAATGCCAAGGAGCTCAGAAAGTAACCAACCGTGACTAGTAATAATCAGATATATAGAGATTCAAAATGCATGTTCAAACATCTTACCATCAATTGCATTAAAAATGAATTTTCCTGCGTGAAACTGTGTATTTTAATAGTGAAATGGAGACTTTCTTATGGTTAAAACCTCATTTAATTTTATGTCTTAAAGGGTTTATACTGAGTACAATATTGCATAACTGCATTAATTTAACTGTAAACCTGAAAATTAACAGCCAATTTTGAAACAGATGCATCTTAGCTCTGGAAATTGTTATTGAATATGTCAATGCTGTTGTCATGAAATGCTTCTTCTAATTATATGGTTATTAAATAAACAATTTAAAAAATATAAAAAATATTCTATGCATAAAGTAGTGAGGCCCTCTGTAGCAAACCAACAGAGGGTGATATGATATAAAGCTATTATGCTCAGTGATCCTGTAAGCGGAGGACCTATATTCATATCAGACACAGCAACTCTTAATTTCCCTGGATTCCTCCACATACAAGTATTTCCTCTGGTAGGCACCCGATACAAGCCTAAGTTATTTTGCAAGTCATTTGTCATCACTAGACGTCACTCTCATTTGAGAAGAGATGTTCATTACAGATTAACACAGAGGACATTTTCAACTTCTATATTTAGTCTTGATGAGTCTCAGATTCTACAAAAATGTAAATCTATCCTACTCTGTGTGTATGTTTGCTATAGAACCATATATGATGTGCCCAGAGCCTGTAGAGTCCAGAAAAGGGCATCAGATCACATGAAATTGTAGCTACTAACAGTTGTGATTTGCAATGTGGGTGCTGGTCACTGAGCAGAGGTCCTCTGTAAGAGCACCTACTGTTCTTAAAGGCAGAGTCATTTCTCCAGCTTCAGGGCATATTCTTTAAAATAAGTATAAAACTAACAAGGTTCTTCATTAGACTGATAAGACCTGAAAAGGAAATGAATAATATCAGTGGAAGTATGTGGGTGTGCAAGAGCCTAGTGCTCCATTTTTACCAGATACATCCTGTGCTCCATTTTTACCAGATACATCATGGAGGATGTTAGTGACATAACTATTACTGTTCTGGTAAAAAAAAAGTTCACATCTAAGTGGAGTACTGTGACTAACCTAATGAAAACCAAAAGTAACAATGAACAAAAATGTTTAATTGCCTTTGCTTTGCAGAAGTTTCTTAGCTTAATGAATTCCAGTTGTCAACTTTTGATCTTAATTCCTGAGTGACTGAAGTTCTATTTAGAATATCATTTCTTGAACCTATAACTTGTAGGCTATTGCCTATTTTCTTCTAACACTTCCAGCATGTTTTGTTGTACATTGAGATCTTTGATATATTTTAAGTTGACCTTAGTGCAGGGTGATATATAAAAGTCTAATCTCACTCTTCTACAAGTAGAGATCATGTGTTGACAGGACCACTGGTTGAAGATGCTGTCTTTCCACCAGTATGTGTTGGCTTTAAGTTTTTGATAAATATCAGGTGGGCTGAAAGGTTATGCACCTATGTTTTGTCTTCTGTTTTGTCTGTTGTGTCTTCTGTTTTGTTCCATTGATCTACATGCACATTTTGTGCCAATGCTATGCTGTTCTTATGACCACCGCTCTGTAATGTAGTTTGAGACACGATATGGTAATCATCCAGCATTGCACCTTAGACTCAGAAATGAGTTGATTATCTGGGGTCTTTATGATTCCATGGGAGCTTTAGAATATTTTTTTCTAATTCTTTGAAGAATGACATGGGGATTTTAATAAGCACTTTATTGAGTCTATAAAACTTTTTTGGTAAAATAGTCATTTTCACAGTATTAATTCTGCTGATCCATGAGCATGGAAGTTCTTTTCATCTCCTTTAGTTGAGTGAAGAGGAAACCCACAAAGTGGATGAAAATCATTACCAGCTCTACATCTGAAAGAGGATTAATATTCAGAATGTATAAAGATTCCAATAAATAAAGAATTAAGGAAACAAATGACCCAATTAAAAACATTATAAGAATCTGAACAGAGAGCTCTCAAATAAGGAATAAAAATGGATGCGTTATTACTTTTCTGTTGCTTTGATGGAAACACTATAACCAAGGGAACTTATAAAAGGAAGAACTTATTTGAGCTTATGGTTCCAGGGGAATTATAATACATCATGGCAGGGACGCATGGTGGCAGGAGGTGGCTATGGCAGGAACGGAAAGCAGAGCTCTCACATCTTCAAGCAGGTACAGGAAGCAAGAAAGCAACTTGAGATCAAGTAAGACTTAAGAACTCTCTAAGCCACCCCTAGTGATGTGCTTCCTCCAGGATAGCCACACCTTCTAAGACCTTCCCAAACAGTGACAACAACTAGGTACAAAATGCTCAAATACTTGGAGACTATGGGGGACATTTTCATGTAAATGGCCACAATGGGTACGAATCTTTTTCAAAAGTGTTGAGTTTCCTAAATAATTAGGTAAATGCACCACAAAACTTCTTTGAAGATTGTACCCTTCCTCAGTCAAAATGGCTAAGATCAAGAGAACAAACAACACCAACTCTGAGCAAGGATGCAGGGGAAGGGGAACCCTCATTAACTGCAGGTGGGATTGCAAACTGGTGTAGCTATTGTGATAACCAGTGTGGAGAACTCTTAGAAAACTGAAATTAAATATACAATATGACTGTGTTACACTACTCCTTGGCATAATTACAAAGAACTCATTCTTCTGTATTCAATAAAGGCACAATAAATATTGTGCTTTTCAGATAGTGATTCTGTGAGTTGGGCTACCATTTTGATTCCACAAAGCATTAGTGCAATGGTAGTTGGACATCATTGAACACCAAATGCACATTTCAAACTCACATATATGGAAAAAGAGATTTTAAAATATTTTAGATAATTATTGTTGTGTGTGTGTGTCCTTCAAGACTTTTTATGACTTATCATTGTTGAGAATTATTAAATAAAACAGATTTAAATAAAAAATAAGTTGCTAGGATTGACCAGTTTTCACACGTGTATTTCCTTCCACACCCACACTCTGGGATTGATAAGGCCTGGAAGTGTATCACATGACATGCACAGTGAGTGGTTTAAGATGTTAAAATTTTGGACCTGTCTGAGCAGACATCAGCCTGAGGAAGGAGGCATGCCTAGAAAAAGGGAGACTTGGAAGGGACAACAAAGCCAATAGAATAAGATGTGTCCCTGGATTACTGTGTAAAAATCACACATGCACCTAATGAAGCTCTTGGTTAAAACACATTACTTTCCTTGAAAATTAAACATTTCAACTTAAAATAATAAAATGATAGATATAAGTAACATGGGACATGTAATTTTAGCAGTAGACTACTGACTTTTTCAGTAATTGAGATCTCACCATTACTATATTAGTGGAATGTGTACAGTAAAGTGTCCTCTCCAACACTTACAGACTAAAATGAAATGAAGTAAGTTGCCAACGTTGTGAGTCCATTTTTTTAACTAAAGCAATAATTTTGAGCTAATCATTTTTCTGAAAGCATTTTTGACATCTTTGTTCCTAAGACTATATATTAGGGGGTTCAACATGGGTATAATCAATGTGTAGAAGACAGAGGTGATCTTGTCAATGTCCATTGAATGTCCTGCACTGGGGCGCAAGTAAATGAAAATCAGGGTACCATGGTAAATAGTGACCACAGTCAGGTGCGAGGCACAAGTGGAGAACCCTTTCTTTCTTCCCTCTGTAGAGCCTGTTTTAAGAATGGCTGCTATGATACAGACATAAGAGACCAGCACTGCAAGAAGACAGACAGCTTCCACCAAACTAGCAAAGACCACCAGGATGATGTCATGAATATAAGTATCATAACAGGAAAGAGAGAAGAGCGGAGAGATATCACAAAAGAAATGGTTGATTTCTTTGGAGCAGAATGATAAGTGGAAAGTATTAGTGGTATGAATAATTGCACTCATAGTCCCCCCAAGGAATGCTCCAACTGCAAGCTGACTACAGACTCTCTTGGACATAATTACTGTATAAAGCAGTGGGTTACAGATTGCAATGTACCTGTCATATGCCATGACAGCTAGGAGGAAAGATTCCGAGTCAACTAGAGAGCAGAAGAAATACAGCTGGGCAGCACAGCCATTGTAAGAAATTGATTTCTTGTCAGAAAATAAGTCCACAAGTAATTTGGGGGCAATGACAGAGGAGTAACAGGCATCTACGAAGGACAACATGCAGAGGAAGAAGTACATGGGGGTGTGCAGGTTGGAGCTGAGTGTGATCAATAAAATCATCCCCAGATTCCACATGAGAGTAACAGAGTAGATGGAGAAAAACACAGCGAAGAGGAGACTCTGGAGCTCGGGATGGTCACTAAATCCCAGCAGAAGGAATTCAGTCTTCACACTGCTGTTGTGTAGACTCATTATCTGCAGCGATTTGGGTTTCTAGAGTTGAGATAAGCAATATTCTGTGAAAAAAAAATCATATTTCAAAATCAATAGAAAATATTGCTAACTATTCCACAAATCACCACTGTAGCAAGTACAATAATAGCATATTTTAATATGTTTTAATTTTTTATACTCAGTCAAGTATTTCCCCTTGTCGTATTAAAGTTGCCCTATCTCATATAAACCATTAAACCAGCTGTGGGACTCTGAATATGGTTGACAGTTTACCTCATTCATTCATTCTCTCTCAACATCGTCAAAGGGTTACTCCACCATCATGCTTTTGACAACTCTAAGCAAATTTTTCTATGTATTCCTGAGTGCTGCCCCATCCACTTCTATAATACATAAAAATGAGTCTGCCTGGAGCAGGGGGACCTGTCAATATAGGAGTAGAAGGATGTTTCTCATTTTAATATGTGGTTTCCATGTGAGCATCAAATACTGTCTTCAACCTTGTTTGTGGTCCTTCACTACCTTTTTGCAATGAATTTTAAACGTGGGCATGTTCCAGACAGATGGCTTATATTTAACCTTCCAGTCAAAATTTAACCTTAAGTTGTTTGGAATGAAGATATGTTCACGGAGATCTGTTCTACTCTTATGACTTAAGCATATATCCTTACTCCCTCATGATGATTTTTTCTCATCAGTCCAAAATAATGGATGAATGTAGGTTTTACATATCAAAGCTTTGCATATAGTGTTTACCTAATTGAAAACAATGAGAGAAACTGGTAGCATACATTTAGGGTTGTGCATGAGTGCTATTATAAATCAATAAGTTTCACAGAAGGAAAAGTCTTCTCTGATAAGGTTGTTCTGAGTTTACTCCTACATTTCATGATGGATATACTGCTTCAATACGAGAAAGAGCAAACTCTCATTTGCAAGAATTCTGAAGGAGCAATTTCTCAGCAATTCCTGTCAATATTTTGCTTCAAATGGTTACTGATTTTTTTTTTTAATTTAAGGACAACCACAGTGTGCCTTCACTTAGTAAACATGGCAATCACTGAGTTTCAGTTCTTTTCCTCAGCAGCTAGGAACCACTGAGGATAGCAAACATTCACCTGATCTGAATTTTATAAGTCGATTCTCCTTTGTATTAGCAATAAAAGGTGAATGAATAAAGATAATTAAAATGTAAATAATTCTTGCTTTGATTAGATGGAGATTTTTAGGTTGTGTGTGCATACCCATGTATGCATATATGTGTTTATTGTGTATATGCACAAATACATCTTATTCTTTGGAAGTCTCCATTATACATAGATGTAATCACTATTTGTTTATGGAATCCAAATACGTATCTTAAGATTTCATTCTTATGTTTAAGACCCTGTTTTGACACTAATTTCTCAAACTAACAATTTTTCTTTACATTTCA